AAACAAATTTTTTTATTTTTAATTTTAAATTAAGAATTAAAAAATAAAATGTAAAATTTAGAATTAGATTTAATAAATCGTATAAGATTATTAAACCGAGTTAGTCAATCCAATTATTGAAATAATATAAAATATAATAAAGAATATATATTTAATTTGATTATATTTATCGATAGTAAATGTATAGTAATGAATATATGGAATTATGTTATTTCCTTTGTTTCTTTAAATGAAATTAAACAATATTCACATTCTTGTATTTCAGATTATTTCAAGTACGATCTTGAGAGAAATATTTTGCTGCATTATGGAATCTCAAGATCACTTAACATCTGACTCAAGACGATTTTAAATATCGTACTATGGATATTGCTCTTATGTTAGCATCTTGTATTAGCATCTGTACATGATAAATCATGAAACTTCCCTATCGATCGATTATTTACTTTTGACACTCCCATTGGCCGGTATTTATAGTTGGATTTTATATTTAAGACTGTCCTAAGTACGATCTTAAGATGTTACGAACCAAGTACAGAGCCGTATTAGCATCTTAAGACATTACTTAAGACGGTCTTAAAATAAGAACCGATTATGAATACTGGCTATTGATTCTTTTTGATATTATTTTTCATTATTATCTATCATTTTTTATTATAATCAGCGTAAATAACAATATCTTTTGAAATATCTTCTGTATTAGAAATTGTGTAATTTTTTTTAATTTTTTCATTATTTTTTTACAGATTATTATTATTATTATTGTTGTTGTTGTTATTATTGTTATCATCATTTGCTTTGATGATGTGGATTTAAGTCTGGAAGATAATATAATGTCTTTAATATTAATATTTTTTTGTATAAAATATTCTCTACTTTCATCAATCCAATAAATCGGTATAATAAAGTTTTATTTCTTTAACAGCTAAAACTTTGCTCAGATGGCAACAACAACCTAAAAAAAATATTAACAAAATCTCTGATTTTCCGACCACCGATAAAGAATCGCTCTTCAGAATCACGAGCAGAATAGAATACTACCAGAGGAGAATCCTGAGAGAGGCTATCCCGATATTTTTCGTGGGACCGGCTTTTTTCGTGGGCAATTCTACGAAAAAACCCGGGACACCGCGGAATGGTCTCTCTCAGGTTTCTCTCTGATGCAGGCTAAAGACAATGCACGCACATCAGAGAAGCGTAATCGACCAATCACCATCGACAGTTTTACAATGGCGGTTTATTCGTTCTCGAGGATTCTCGATTGTAATTGGTTGAGGATCAGTTTAATATTTATATCTTACATGTATCGATAAATATAAACTTATTCCATATATTTATATTATATGTTAAACATCTAATAGTCTTCTCTCCCTCTCTTTCTTTTTTTCTTCTTTCACTTTTACACTTCCCATTACAGACAGCACATTGTCCAAAATCGGAACGTAAGATGTCTTTTAGACGTCCCGCTTTTGGACATGTGTGCTGTCTGTGATTATTTTAAAATGTATCTCCTATCAATTTAAAAATCCGAATACAAGACAATAGGCCTTTATGGAAAATTTTGTAAGCAAATCGAATAATATTTGGGGAACAAGCAACAGAGAATGTTTTATAATTTTCAATTATCTTGACGACGACGATTTATCGTCTTTTATGGTTTGCGCGATCACCGCGCTGCAAAAACAATCGCGACGAAATTTTTACAAACATGAAACATTTGTAAATGTAACAATAAATTACGTGAACGAGCGAATTACGTGTCTGTTTTTGAACGAAAAACGAAATTATATTCGTGGATGCACATTTCAGCTTGTTCGCACTCTCGATATTCATACGCATTTCGAAGCAAGCTCGCTCCCTGCGATCGCGACAAAGTGCGAACGTCAAACGCGCGATCGTTCTCTTCAATCACTTAATTAATTATTAATAATTATTCCCACACATAACGAAAGGTTCAAGCTATATTAATTAAAGCGTCTTCCCGCGCAATTCATTCATTCGAAGAAATCGAAACGGAGACAGGAGACGTGAATTCCGAGGTTATCGTTTCACTGCGACACGCGGAACAACGATTCCATTAAGATTCGGATGTACCACGCTTCGAATCATTTATTTCTCACATATATACATATAATTCACTCACCATTCAATCACGGCGTACTGCAGGAGACCCGCTAAAAATCACAGCCGGCAGGGTGATGTGTACTATGCGTGTACGGCGTCCAGCACGGCATTCGACGTTCATTTCGTCTAGCGACGGCATCTCACTCGTTTCAGTCGACACGAAGAAGGAACGGAATAATCGGCGTACGTTCAGCTTGCAACATTCCGTAACCGAATTTCTTTTCGTTCACGAGAAAGGAATTACACTTACACGATCGACAACGTCTCGCACCGACGTTGAACGTGTCGCGTATTACTAGAGTCGGGCGAGATGTCGAACGCGATTGGCTCGCGAGTCGAGCCCCCAGATCTGACCAATCACGTTCCGCTGCTCCGAGCCGCCGGCGCGGCGGCTCGGCGCAGCGGCATACCAGTATAACCAGATACGCCATACTAGGCGCGACCGTTGAACGTTGGAACAGCGCTTCGAAGTCGGCGTGCGATCGATTGTTCTTGTCGGTGAGCGGCCTTGCCGCTTGTTTTCTTCGATGCTCGGAGCATCGTTACCTGCGGCAATCATTCGGTCATTCTCCGGACAGTCGTGAAGTATTCGTGCTCCGTACGCCCGTCGCCGTGCTCCGTACATACGTGCTGTGGCTGTGGGTGCTGTGCGAGGTGCTGTGTGTTTTTCGGAACGCGCTTTTTCCTGCGATTGGCACTCCTGCGTCTCCTGCTCCTCGTTTTGCGGGAATAATCGACTACGCGCTCGAGAATTCGCAATGTATCAAGTGTTTGTCGGACAGTGTTGGATTGAATGTGCCGTGTGAATCGCTCGAGGCGGAGACGTCGAGGCGAAGGTACCGGCAATGGTAATTATGTGATTTGTGAGTAATTTGCAGTTTTGTTGTGCGTTTCACGGGCGATATAATCGCCCGTCTCGCGGTCTCGCCATATATCTGGCCTCTCGAATGTAGTGCGTCGTGCTTTGCGAACGCTGTGCCGGAATTGTAATGCGAGCTATCACCAATTCCTTTCGAAGGGGGAAAAGGAGTTACAACGTGAAATACGTGAAATCGTATCGAGTGATTCGAGTAATAGCATGCGCCGTGATACAACACCAGTTCGTTAATATTTCTTATTTTCGTGTATTTCGTGCCGCGTAAGTAAACGATTCGCGACTTCTCGTTGCGCAAGGTATTAATAGTGCAGTTTTGCATTCGCGAGATTTATCGTGCTCGATCCCGTACTGTGCGTGCGATATTTAATTTTAATTGTATTTATGATTAATTAACTGCGTGTCTTTACGAGCCGTCCACTTGATTCGCGTAGTGTCACGCCAAGTGACCGACATCTTATTTGAACATTTCGTTGTCGTTAACGTAACACGGTGACGAACGAGGAACGAATCGGGACAATCGGCGTCGCGATTCTTTCAAATTTTTACGAAAAATTTGTGTTGGAAAATGTGAAAATATTTTGGGAAATATCTTATATTTATATAATTTAATTTTATATTATATCTGCTTTTATATTACAGAGCAAAGTACTTCCTTCCCACGGGTACGACCTTGGCGAGGTGGGAAGGCCCAGTACCCAGTACGAGGATTTTACCCAAGCAAAACTCTCGTTCTGCTTGGATAAAAATCCAAAGACGGGGAAGCTAACGTACCCTCCGTCCGCCGATTTAATTGAACAAACGAACCGCAGTCGGTTCGTCGCGTTTGTTTCGGGAGTGCCGTACAAGTATTCGGACTAAAAAGACTTTTTCAAAGCCTATTTGAAGAATATTACGGCGTACTTGGCGGAATATTCTTCTCATGGGCTTTAAAACGGGAGTGCCGTACAGTATCGCGCGAAAAAGACTTTAATTGATAATTAGTCCGCGCGCGATTGTAATTTATTATCCGCGAGTGTTTCTCGCGAGTGTCCTGTGCGGTGAGAGGAGGAGGAGGAGGAGGAGAGACCTGACGTCCTGAGAGGAGGAGGAGGTCCGAGAGAGACATCGGGCACCGGCGGAGCAACCTTGGGGTAAGTATCATCTCTTAGCTACATAAAATTAATAATTCGTTTCCATTTATTCGAATTTTTTATTTCGATAAGTTAAAAGTAATTAAGGCAGAGAAATTATCTAAAATTTTATTCTTGTAAAGATCTTTTTCGGTAAACAGATAATTATCTTGCTAAATATTTTATATATATTGAAAAATGACTTTTAGAAGCCAATATAATGAATTAAGAATTATTTTTTGAAATGTTGATTATTTTGAGCGCTTCTTTAATTTAAATCTTATGTTTGTATGTTACAGTATCATCGTAGCTACGTGGCTGAGTAACTCCGCCTGTTGCGCATCGGGTTGGTGAGTCAGAAATTTTTTTTACTGAGGTAACGAATCTACGATTAATTAAATATAGAGCAAATGTATCTCGATACATGTCAAATTATGACAATAAATTATTAGTATAAATTTATTACATCTCGTAGATCCGTTGCCTTAAAATGGATGGGCTAAAACAGATTAATGGCAAATATTTAATTTTGGTGTCACCTGGAGAATGCAACGTACATACGTATAAAATTGATGTGGAAGACAATAAGGTGTAAACGATGTAAATATTTATTTTCACTATTATATATTTTTCTCTTAATATTATAATTTATTTTTACTAAATTATTTGTTACAAAATTCTACAAGATCAGAAGAATGACATTATACGAATTATTAAACTTATAAAGCCCCATACTAGTAAAATCGTGATAACTGTTAACAGGGTATAGTGAGCGATCTTCAATCTGAAAGAAAAAAAAATCATCGTAAGTTTTATGAGGCGAAAAGCAATAGCGATGTGTGCAGGAGCAATTACTCACTTTCTATATTTCT